CGCCTTCCGGGAGGGGGGCGATCTGTCACACCCCTGTGGACTGTCGATTGTGGTTTCTCCCTCTGTGTCCTTATTTGGTTGTTCCTGTTCTCATTATCAGTTAATCACCTCATTGTGCTCACCTGTCTGCCCCTCGTTATCTGCCCTATATTAGTTCCTGTCTCTTGTATTCTAGTTTGTCGGTTATTGTTAATGTTGATGTCTACCCTGTCTGGATTTCCTGTTGTTTCTTTATTAAATATTATTGTATTCGTCATCTTCGTCGTCCTGCCTCATCCCTAGAACACCCTGCCCGTGACACATATAGCATAATATCCAATCAAATCTGATTTTGTCAAATTATATAAAAATTGAAAATATTTAATTTTATAAGAATACATAAAATGCTATGTATACATAAATACTATGAAACTAGAAATTAGCTTTAGCAATACAAAGGAGTCTAAAATGATATTTCCCTCACCATCATTTCCACCACAGAATCCTATTAAACTAAATAAATGTTTGAGCTGTGGTGGAAGTGATACTGCAATGGAAATGACATTCGTTCTTCCATGATGCCATTAGACATTGACTAAGAGTTTTGGGAATTTAAGATTTTTAGAAATTTAGGAATGTTTATTTTTTTTAATTCCACAGGCCCAAAGGAAATGCCCAGTATGCTAATGAGCTCATGTTTGTTTGTGTAGGTACGCAGGAGGAAGATGATGGAGATGATCTGTTGTTGAAATATGTTGATGAGTTCTGGTGGTTTCCTCATATGTGGAGTCATATGCAGCCTCATCTCTTCCACAATGAATCCTCTCTGATGGAACAAATGATCCTGAACAAAGACTTCGCTTTGGTGAGAAAAACTACACCTCTAACTTGCCCATATACAATCAGTGAACAAAACCATCATCCAGGTATTATCACATCCAGTGAAATACCCATTCACCTAAGGAACCATTAGCCCGCCAGCGAGTCGTGTCATTTACTGTGAGAAAATGAACACTAATTATGTGTGTTTTACAGGTGCTTTGAGACTTCAGTTGTTCCTCAAATAGAGAAGTGCCTCTTATGATTTTGACAGAATCATTGAAACCTACACACGAACAAGGGAGAGTGTGAGTGTAAGCGTGTGTGTGCTCTCATTTAGTTATCTCTCGGTAACACTCCTGCATTTATTTGCCCCCCTTTTTCTGTGAAGCAGCACTCTCATGTCACACTCAAAGACACTTTGCTAGCAGAATGTAATACTCTGACATATATTTACCCTTCATGTATTTCAGAGTGATACACATACTGTAAATTGATGCAAGCGACCCGAGTGCAAATCCGGCTCATTCCATTCCCTGATCCCTTTCACTCGTCTGCTCCTTTTCGTTCCCTGTTTATAAAATGGACAAGATATATCTCCTAAATCATATATAAAAAATGAGGAATGCCCTACTAAGACGTTACAAAAACATTCAGATTTCCAAGAGAATTTCAAAGGAAAAGAATCTAGCTGTTTGCTGGCATACAGTGGGGTGATCAGTGGCATTCCTCATTGTCACACAGCCTGTTTTATTTAGTTATGAGCTGATTGGAAGCCAAACACTGCGGCTGAACCGTTAGAGAGGATATCTGCACGACCCACTGAACAAGTAAATTGTCACGCAAGTAAACCCATCCATTGTGTTGTGCAGTGCCACTCGTGCACTTGTGGTGTAGTTTGTAGTTTGGCCTTTTGTTTCTTTTTGTAACACTTTGTAATAAAGGAATAGTTCACCCCAAAATAAAAATTTGCTAAAAATGTATTTACCCTCAGGCCATCCGAGATGTAGATGAGTTTGTGTTTTCATCAGAACAGATTTGGAGAAATGTACCATTACATCACTTGCTCACCAATGGATCCTCTGCAGTGAATGGGTGCCGTCAGAATGAGTCCAAACAGCTGATATAATCTACAGTCGACAAGACTCCAGTCCATCAATTAACATCTTGTGAAGCAAAAAGCCAAGTGTTTTGAGCATGTGATGTAATGCTACATTTCTCTAAACCTGTTCTGATAAAGAAACTCAACTACATTTTAGATTGGCCTGAGGGTGAGTACATTTTTAGCAAATTTTCATTTTGGGGTGAACTACTTCTTTAATGGTGAGTTACAGAAAAAAATGATTCAAAATTCTGTTTATATATTGATATGTATACAGCAGCATATTGTAGATGGTTGTGTACTCACTAGCTGCCTATGTCTAGACTTCATCTTTACTGTTAGGTTGCGTATTAGCATCACTGTCACTTGGCTGTTTGAATATTTGAAATACAGCCGTGTGATGTGAACGGCGGCCTGAGTGATAAACTACAGACCGTAAAGTGCCCCTGCTGAAAGTCACAAACAAGCACAGCCTCTGTCTGAAAACATAACCGCCAACTAAATTATAATTTGAGTCATGCGCTACGGCTTGAGCAGTTTAGCTAATAGTTTTTTATGCAAATGCAGTTTGCATTAAAATGTGACTAAAATTAAGATTTAACAAAGTTCTTTTGAAAACAATAATCTGTTTCATAAAGCTACTCATTGATTTATCCATATAATTATTATCTTTGTTGTTTATTTCCCCCCACATTATCATTTTCAATCATTTCATCTTTATCCATAAAGAGGCCTTCATATTACAGTGAACTTTAAATGGCTTTTAGTGTGTTTCGCCATCTGAGAAATAGAAATATTGGAAATTAAATTAGCCTAATGTGTTTTTTTTTTTTACTGTGGGTATGTTGTTTAACTGTTTTGCACAAAAACTAACTACATCTTAACTACATTTTTCAGCAGCAACAAGCTACTTTTTTCTGTCAAGTACAGTAGTAATGTAGTGTAACAAAACAATACATTTCTATAAATCACATTGTTTGCTTTAGATCTGAGACAATAATCATACACATTCTCCTATAAAAGCTGTCCCGCAATGTCCTCTCTTTCATTTGTAGCTTTGGAGCCAGATTAACTTTAGTGATTCACTTTATTCAAATGATTCATGAAATGAACTGAATAAAAAAAAGATGTTTCACAGATGCAAACCTCTGCTCGTGGCATCAAGTCTCTGGTGGTATTTTCTGTGTTTTTATAGCAAAATATTGCATTTAACAGTGCTGTTCATTACTATGTTTTTGACTCTAGTATTCTAGTTTTTTGTTGTATTTAGTGTAAATGTAACTGTTCAAGTTGAATGATGTTTTAATCACTTTAAACATGAAAAGTCTATTCAAAAACATTGTTTTTGTTGCAGACCCATACTTTCTATCTTAAGATATACATCATAAAATGATAATTAGTTTATAATTAATAAATAAAGTAGAATAATTATTAATCATTTAACTGTTTATTGTGTGGAAATGAACAGAAAATAAAAATACCTTTGAGATTAATTATTTAACTACTTTAAAATCACAACATGATACTCTTTTTTGTTTATTGCTCTGTGTGTATGAGGGTCAGGTTTTGCCTACATTATGCAATCCAAATGTCCCCACAAGGATAGTAAATCCTGAAATCAACTACATTTTGGGGAGCAGCCAACAGTGCCTGTGAGGAAAAAAGCACAATAAATATACTAAATAATATCTTAATTAAGATGCATGTGATGGTTGTGTCATTTGCAGGTTTAAGTGAAGGTTAGGAAATAGAAAATATCATTAGCTCAGTATAAAAAAAATAGATGCCAGTGGAAAGTCTACACTATTATAGAAAAACAAATATGTGTATGCATGTTAGTTGTATCTCTCTCTAGAAGTCTAGATGTAACATAAGAAGCGACGCATCCTTTTTTCAATATTGTGACGCACATCTGAGTAAAGCAGATCATTTAAAAGAAAAATGTAGGATGGGGTCTTGGTTCAGTTCATTGGTTGCTGATTGGATGTAGGCAGGCTTAATGTGATCTTAAAAAAATTAAACATATGCATGGATGAATCATTCACAATGAGATCAACATGCATTTAGAAAATAGATTCCATTTCATGCTGACTTTAATACATTTTCCTCTCTCAGAGCTGCCATAAGGATCTGTTCATAGTCAATGACAATCAACAAACTGCACACTTCAAAAATTTCCCAGGAAAAATCTCCTACATGAGTGACCAAGGTCAAGCAGTTAGCATGCGCTTGACTCTGGGCGCAGAGTTAAACAGACTAGTGTCTGTCTGCTCAGAGGGCAGAGACTGTGAGAGTCGAGCTGACAGAGAATTTTAATGGGCCACGAGCAGAAGTTTGATCATCTATAGAAGACAGCTTTGATTTGCCTTTATTGGTTTGGGGGTTTGATTAAATCAGAGAGCTGTGCAGCTAAGCTAACAGATGAGTGTACATGAGAGGATGGAGAATGTGGGCGGCTGTGTGTGTGTGTGTGTGTGTGTGTGTGTGTGCACGCACATTCTCTTGAGGGAAATTATGTGGATTACTGGGTCCTCATGATATGGAAGTTAAATCTGAGAATTCACCTCAAAATACAGTTATTGACTCAGCTGTTCTTTAGATGTCTGTTATCTCACCTATCTGATTTTAATTAGTTAGCCCAGAGAAATTTAAAAATGAAAATGGATTTTTCATAAAAATCATAAAGTCTCGAATCAATAGCTCTGAGGTAGCTCTGTGTAACTCTGAAGATAAGCGTGAATGAGCGCACCAGCTATAAAAATGTGTGTGTGTGTTTCCCAGCTCTGGCTGGGAAATGGGATTTTTTTGTAATTTTGTCTACTCAAGCACTCAGCAGATAAATTAATGCAGTACTAACAGTACTAAATGTTTGTCTATATACATTTATGCATCACAGTGTATTCTAACCAGTTATGACATATAACGAGCTTTCTCTTCAGTGTAATTCTGAGTTTTGTTTTTTTGTCATATCCAGCCACAATCCTGACAAGCAACAATCAATAGGATGTATTACAGTGATTTCTGATGTATCATGTGGCACTGAAGACTGGAGTAATGAAAATTCAGCTTTGCCACAACTGCGGAGATGACGAGTCTGTGTCGACGACTTCATCTCTTAAACAGAAAACAAAGAAAGCAGTAGTTTATCAATTAATTATTCAAATGTTAAAGCAGCCTCCTCCTATTATGATTTAAATTGTTTATTAGTAAATGTGTGTTTAGTCGACTAATGCTACAAATGAACGGCTAGGCCTACTAGTCGACCAGACAATTTTTTAGTTGAGGACAGCCCTAATAAATAAATATATATATATATAGCCGTTGATTATCCCGCTTATTCCATGGTCCTTTGCCAAGTTATAGACAAGTTAAAACTAGTATTGCTCTTTACAGCGCAATATTTACATTACATTTAGTCATTTAGCAGATGCTTTTATCCAAAGCGACTTACAAATGAGGACAATGGAAGCAATCAAAATCAACAAAAAAGCAATGATATACAAGTGCTATAACAAGTCTCAGTTAGCTTAACGCAGTACGCGTAGCAAGGGTTTTTTTAAAAATATAATAAATAAAAAGAAAACAGATAGAATAGAAAAAGAATAGAGCAAGCTAGTGTTAGAGGTCTTTTTTGCTTGCTTTTTGTTAATTGTATATTAAATAAAGAGAAAACAAATAGATAGAATACAAAAAGAATAGAGAAGCTAGTGTTTTTTAAGAATAGAATTAGAATAGAGAGTGCTAGAGTTAGAGGGTCAAAAAAAGATGGAAGAGATGTG